CCTGGATGCCTAAGAGTGACGTTCTGCCGCTCCCAGAACCACGGGGGGGAAGCTCCTTGCCAGGCGCCAAACGAGAAGAAGCTTCCTCAACCAAACTCCTTAGACTTCTGGAAACAAACTAACCCCAACAATCCTGCAATCAATCATGCAATGATACTTCATCTTTAACGATCTTCAAGGATCCTTTGATCTTCCAAGGCCAGCCCCCCCTCACCGGTGCCAAAACGCTCCTGCAAAGGCACCGCATCCAGCTCGATGGCCGCGGCCCACACCAGCCGTTGCTGCGGAGTGAGCCAAGCCCAGCTGAGCGCCTCCCGCGCCAGGCAGCGCAAACGCTCCATGAAGGCCGCGTCGCGGTCTTCCGGCCCTCGAGATAAGGCCAGTGGGTGCCGAATATGTGTATGCGCCCACGACTTATGGATTGCTGTTTTGGTTTGGGGGAGCTGCTAAGTGGGTTGTCTACATATTGCTTTAGGTGGGAGGCTAGCTGAACAAAGGAAGGAAGTGGTGCTAGGTGCCAAGGGAACTAGATCAAGTTGGTCCTGAATCAACTTGCGCAACACAGACCCATGGATGCCACGGAAGGGCCAGCACAACGCTTACCCACTGATCACAACGAGCATCAATTACCAAAACAATCCAAAACACACCTGGATCTCACTCCGCCTACTGCTTGCAAGAGTCTCACTGCAACAGTCTTTGCCGTCGCAGCATGTGGCACCAGCGAACCGCCCGTCCTCCTGGCAGCTCAACTGGGAACCCGAGAGAGCATCCTGGAATCCCGGCTTGTGTTCCAAAAGGCTCACTTGATACCGCAGTCAGTTGGAAAGAATATTTGCTTCATTGGCACCTAATCTGCTTCAAGTTGCCTAAAAAATTGGTCCTTCTCAGCCTCGGGAGCGCTCCAGTACCAAGACCCATCTGATGCATCTTCCACCCCGCGAAGCCGACCTCCATCCTCTCAGCCATCAGCCGCATCGCGCCAAAGACGCCGACCAGGCCGAGGAGAAGGTGGCCGCCACGACGCCTCCGCCTTCGCTGTGCCATCAGGGCCCATCAACGAGGTGCTTCTTAATCCGCCCCACAGGAGTTGTGAGAACATAGAACTCCCGAAGACACGGCGGCAGCACTCTGCGCTTGGGCCGGTGGCTACGACTCTAGTGCTGAACAATTGTAGACAAATTGGATCCGGTGCTGAAGAATGTGAAGAACCAAACTTTCTGTCACGCAAATCAATGATATAGCTCAAGTTGCAGAAAGCAGGCTCGAAGACTGCAACTCTCTGCGTGAAAATGGATTCCTGTTTGCCCATCTCTCTCTCTCTCTCTCTCTCTCCAAAATGGCTCCCTCTGAGGCAGCGGCTGGACCAGCTCAGTGGCTGGAAGCGGTCGAAGCAGTTCCGCCATGGAGGATGGCCTGAGTGGAGCAGCGCCGGACTTGCGATTCAAATCGATTCAATTTTGACTTATATACAGTAGCATTTTGATCCAGGAAGACGGTCCACCCTTGTCATGGCCGCATTGCTTTATATTGTCTCGGGCGGCGGTGGATTCAACATGAATTCCTTGTGGATCCACTTCGATGGTCTCACTTCTGTGGGGAAGCCAATGGTATCACACGGCCCGTGGCCTCATGGGTAGCTAAAATTGTCACAACCGAAACCCCCCACCAAAAAAGAAGCTTCTCGCCGGCTTTGGAACAGTACCAGTCACAAACATCAACACCTTGGCCTTCTTTGAGGTCTGCGAACCCAAATCTTTCAAACACAAACTTCACTGCGGCAATGTGATATTCGGGTATTCGGATCGATCCTCCGCACCGGCAGCCAAAACCCTTCAGAATGGCGTGGCTTTTGTAACCCTCCCCTTCTGTTCCAACCTCCTGGCAGCTTCTGCGACCAGTGGATGAGAGCCACGAAGCCGCTTCGCCAGCTCAGGCGGCAAAGCGTCGAGCCGTCGGAGTTGCCTCCGGAGCCACTCGTACTCTGTGTTTTCTGACGGTCGTTTCGGGAGCCGCCCGTGCTTCACGATGTGGAGGACTTTCTCCAACCGTTTTTCCCATCGTGCCAGGTCAATCTTTAGAGGCCTGTCGTCCCATTTCTGGAGGAGTTCTTTCACTAAAGGATGCACTTCCTCCAGCATCTTCCTCCTCTCAGGCATGGCATCATGAGCTCTATTCTTTCGAACATCAAACAACCACGCCGCCAGTCGAGAGCCGGAAGAGTCGGGCTTCGCTTTGGTTGGAATCTTACCATTCAACTCTATGTACTCCTTCAGCTCTCGGCAGTGATCCTCGAAGCCACCATCGGGGTCGCCGGTGATCCACCCTTCAGCACGTCTGCGGATGAGATCGGATCTTGCAGTCAGAAGTCTTTGAAGTCGGTGGGCTGGCATTTGCTGCAACCTGACGCGCCTGGTTTGGGTAATCAACCAGTTGCTCAGCACTGCCTCAGCACGATCGCAACCAACTCTCCACCATCGAGGAAGCTTCCCGTTCTTCTCGGCAAAGGCTTCCAATTCCCTCAAGCGAGTCTCCCACGAGTCTCTTTGAGACAAAATCGCGTCAAGCCGGCCATACACCTCTTTGATGAATCCGTCCACACCAAGTTCTCCTTCCAGGCCCAAACTGCAATCGACAATTTGGATTCTATATCCGTCATCAGCCCCGATCAACCTGTAATCTGCTTGCACCAAGGCTCCCAAAAAGCGCTCCAGCTGATTCTCATACTTCTTGTCGAAAGCTGAAACCCCATCACTGCTCCCAAACGTCAACTGTGTTTGCTGCTTTCTTCTGAATGCTACTCGCCTCATCCGATGCGGCTGTGCTTCAGTTGCGGGGCTAGGAGGAGTCTGCAAATCCTGTTTGGTGTTGCCTCTGGGTGAGGGGGACCGATTTGCAAAGCCAGCACTGTGACGAGCTTCTTGATCTGGGCGTCCCCTCTCTGCGCTAGCCAAGTTCGGCTGCTCCCTGACCTCTATCCTAGTGGGTTTGGTACGACCGTTGCGCAGCATGCCATCAAGAGGGTCTGCTTCACGGTATCGGCTGCGGCTGCCACCCGGCCGCGCAGCCTCAGTCTCAGGGCCCACTGTGTCAGCATTCTGGCTGGTGCTAGCACCACTTCGGCTTATTATGTTGCTGCTGCCTGCGCCTGCTTGTGACAAACT